CGTTCTTAAATAAAATATAATACGCAATATAATTTTTGTTGAATAATCTAGAACCTTTACTTATATTTCCTCTAATTTTTTTAAAATCTTTTTTTAAATCCCAATTTATTTAATAACTTTGTAAAACAGCTATTACATGTAGCTAACAAGAGCAATCGGACCCAAGAGTGGTGAATAAATAAATCAAATCAAATCAAATCAGTAACTGCAGGTTTAAGGAAAGAATTACTACGAGTACATTTAAGGGGCAAATTTAGATAGCATTGTAATTAGTAATAATAAGCAAAATGGCAAAAAAATGGCAAATATAACGGCACAATACTTTGGGGGGCACTCAATGAATCATGCAGGTCTACATGAACACAGCTTCATTTAGTTTTAGCAACCTCCTTCTCATGACTATTAGGATCAGGGACTCAAGGAGATCTTGTTAAAATCCCACTCCCCAAGAAAAACATTTCATTTATAAAATTACATGATAATCACAGTGAAGAGTTTAAAGGACTTAAATAAATTTTCCTTGCAGTTCATTTAAGACTTCACAAAATGAATGGTATAGTAGAACATAAATAACAGGAAATACTATTTGTATGAAAATAATTGATACAAACCTTGATCAGCATCAGATGCAGACATCGTGATGACACTAGAATAGGCTGGAGAATTCTCTTGGATTTCGGCGGTAAAGCTGGTCTGTTCAAACACTGGAGCATTGTCATTTATATCCTGGACTGTGACTTGAACAAATGCTCTTGACTGCTGCGGGTTTATTCCATGATCACTAGCAGTCACGTACAAGGTATACGACGAGATCTCTTCACGATCTAACAGAACCTTGGTGACAATCTCACCACTCTCTTCGTTGATTTCAAACTCAGGAGAAGGATCCATACTGTAGCTTACTTCAGCATTAGCACCGGCATCATTGTCTGCTGCAGACACTGTAACAATAACCTCTCCGATGTCAGCACCTTCGCTGACGTAAACATTGTAGGGCGAGTTTTGAAATACTGGAGCAAAATCATTAACATCAGTTACGTTGACGTACACAGTACAAGTGCTTTCAAACTGCCTGTCTGATGCTGTAACTGTCAGAGCATAAAAGGACTTGCTATTGTAACTCAGTTGAGATGTGACAGTAATTGTGCCTTCATTGTTCTGGGTAAGGATGTTGAAAGGGATACGACCAGTAGGGTCAAGTGCATCTACTATCCTATAGGAGATAGTGTTCTGTTCATCGGGATCTGTTGCTGTAACGGTTATCACCTCAAAACCATGGTAAGCATTTTCAGCCACTGCAGCATGGTAGACTTCTTCAGAAAAGATCGGAGCGTTGTCATTCACATCAGTTACAGTGATGGTGACTGAAGCAGTCGACGAACTGGGGGATTCCCCATGGTCCACAGCAATAACATTAAACTCCCAACTATGTCCAGACTCTCTGTCAAGACTGACACTGTTTGTTATAGCACCAGAAGTAGGATTAATTTCAAAAGGAAAGTCATTGGGAGGGTTTGGGATAGAGAATGTTATCCTGGCATTTTCCAACTCATCATCATCTCTTGCCATCACAGACAATATGGAGTGCCCGACATCAACATCTTCCCTCACTATACCCTGGTAAACATTCTGGGAAAACTGAGGACTGTTGTCATTCACATCCAACACTGTTACTGTGACAGTCGTGGTGTTCTCCCTTGGTGGATTACCAGAATCTTGGGCACGAATGCTCAGTCTGTAACTTCTTGTAGTTTCAAAGTCTAAGGAATTTTGAAGGGAGATGAAGCCATTGACCGAATCAATCCTAAAGCGGTTTTCAAAGTTGCCGTGGGTCAGACTGAAGTGGACATCAGCATTTGAGCCTTCATCTGCATCTGTGGCCATGACATGCAGGATCTGGCTTTCAGGGTCACCTGGACTGACATCCTCCCGTACAGATACCTCATAAGTCAACTGAGAGAAGTGTGGTGAGTTGTCATTCAAGTCAAGAACTGTGAGTAGTACCTCTGCCGTTGAATTCCTCTTTCCAGGATCGGTACCCATATCTTGAGCCATCACTAGGATATTATATCTCTCAGTCTGCTCCCTGTCCAGTCGCACCAAGGTCTTGATCTCTCCACTCGTCGGATTCATTGTGAAGACATCATTTGGGCTCTCGTTGTTGACAATGCTGTACCTTATTTCAGCATTAAGTCCATCATCATTGTCTGATGCCCGCACCCTGACAATCAATGTTCCTGGATTCTGGCCTTCATTAGTGGTCTCTACATAACTTGGTTGCTCAAAAACAGGAGTATGGTCATTGCGGTCATCTACATTGACTGTCAGGTAAACTTGAGCAGATTTTGGAGGAGTCCCATGGTCTGTTGCTGTGAGACGAAATGAGTGAGATGGAATTTGCTCTCGATCAAGTGCCGTGGTGGTTGTGATTATTCCTGTGTTTTCTTCTACGGCAAACATATTTTGGCTGCGAGCATCACCCAGAGCAACCAGGCTGTATGACAGCCTACCATTATCACCATCATCATTGTCCGTTGCAGTGATTGTCGCCACAACAAATCCTTCATTTTCATTCTCAGGTATTTGACGGCTATATATAGGCTGGCTAAACGTTGGATATGTATTTCTAAGTTGCCTTCTAAAGCGCTTCAGTACCACTTCTCCATTTCCTGATGTATCTTCAGAAAAGTCGGCATTCAAACGATTGGTGTCTGATGCTCGCAACTCAATCAAAATGGGAACCTCTTCATATTTGTCCGACAAGTAAGATGGCGGTTTCGCTAAGCAAGATGATGGAATTTGCACTGATCCACTTATATGTTCCGACTGGTGCTCAAAGACACAAACCACATCTTTTTCTGTGCGTAGTTTACCTGACATAGCATCAAGATCAAAATCATGCTCTTTACCATCACTCAAAATGTATGAAATCGGACAACCTGAAAGTGATTTAGGAAGGAAGTTATTGAGGTTCAGCAAGACATCCCCAGGAAACCAGCAAGTCCCTTCTGGATATTCCATCATGATCTGCAGAGGTCGAGTTGCAGATAAAGGTGTGTGTTCAATATTATCCCTATCAAAATTCTTTTTCTTCGCTTTCTTTGGATGGCAACCGATCCCATGAACAGAAATTGCTATGGGTATCATAACATATGAGCCCACTTTTTCTGAGCCAGTATCTGTAGTTCTTCCACGAGTTTGCACATAAACCAAGAAAGGGTTTTCATGAAGCAAATCACACTCCATTATTTTTGACAAGGATAATTCCCCAGAGTTACTGTCAATTTTAATGTTTTCTTTGGCATCTTCTCCTGTTAATGATGGATGAAGAGCATATGACCATCCACTTCCGAGAGATGCGTTAAATACTGAATATCCCGGCTCCTCATAATTGGATAGATGACCATCGAAAGCTGCGAGGGCCGCCCCGTGAAACACGGCAGCGGCTAGCCACAGGATACGAAGGAGATGAGCCATAGCGGCAGGCAGCTCCATTTCAAACTTTCCGTTCGCTTTACGGAGTTACAACGGAAACTTACGGGGGGCTCTCCCCGTCACAATTGGTCCTTATTCTACTTCACCTTCAGCAATTAAACGCGTCCGAATCTCGAGATATAATCCAAGAAATATATTCACAAATTTATTATCCATTCGGTGAGAATAAAGCCCAAATTTCCATTGTGATTCCTTAAATAAGAACTTGATAACGGAGTTTCCACCAGTTCTGTTTCCGAAGTCGCTGTTATCTCTTACCCGAATTTTGGCGTCGCCGATCTGAGAGTTTGGAAAATGACTCGAGCCGGTATCATTTTGATGCCTGCACGCGAGATGGCGCAGTAGCTAATTGGAAGATGCGACAGGTGTATATTGGTCTACTACAATGAACTCTCACACTACGTGTAGCGTTAGAGGGGGTTAGAGGATAGTGGTCTAATATGGGCTCATCGATAGCACGGAGGACAAAGTTTATGGTTCGAATCTCATGACGCTTGGAATTATCTTGATAGAAATTGAATTGTTGTAGATTGGAGCAGTGGCAGTGGTGGTTTTGCCGGAGAAACGTGCCCCCTGAATACAAGAGGGAGAAATGGGATTTTAATTTTTTTTTTTTTTTTTTTTGGGGGGGGGGCATTTTTTTTGGGGGGGGGGGGGCATCTCTGTGTTTTTATTTGTTAGAAAATGTTTCACTGAAAATTGAAAATTGGCACAACCTCGCTGAATTGAATTGAGTGGGGGTAGTTGCAAATGCAAGTGAAGGGTATAAAATGGGGTTCACAAATAAAGAGACTAGAGAAGAAGGGAAAGGGGTCGAAGGGAAGGCCCCCAAAAGATGATAAGACACCTCTCTTTTCGTGCCCTATGGTGCACCTAGCTTTTCAAATCTAATTTCCATCCATTTAGTGCAAGTGGTACAACCTAATCCTTGATCGGCCACTCAACACTACACCATTGACTTTATACTTACTTACTTTAAGTATACTTGAGTCTAGAGACTAGAAGCTTAGCTTATTTGTCCCTTTTAACTGTTCCATCCCGTCTCAAGTATGCATGGTTCACTGAAGTTTGATGGGATTGTTTCTCCATTACCTTTCTAGGGATGACTTGGTTAAATGGTGGCAGGATTGACTACTTCCTTAGGCAGGGCATTCCAATTATTTGCACTCCTTATTAAGAAACTATACTGCCTAAGTCCTGTATTGAAATGTTGCTTGATTATCTTGAAATGGTGGCTTCTTAATTGTTGTTGAGCCAGTACGTGGCTTGTTGGAAGAATTTTGAGGGAATTACTCTGTTGAAATCTCTCAGGATTTTTAATATCTTTAAGGGAGGGGCACCAGCTCATTTTTTTTTTCTGGGGAGGGGATGGTACACTTACCCCGACACTGGCCCCCGGTCCGATATTTCCGCCAATCCATGTTCACTCTGATATAGACCCTATAAAGGACACTTTTGAAACTTTTCAACTATTCCGCCCTCTTTCGGTGTATGCTTTATATTGTACTGAGAGCTCTAGCTAGCTAAGCACAGATAAAATGGGCGGAGGCAACATGCCAGAGTCCAAGGGAAAGGCCATATTTGTTGATAAAAAGAACGAATGGACCGAGACAGGACTCCGATATGCCTTCGCAGGGATATCATGCATGTGTGCTGCATTCGGTAAGACAATCAAACGCGTTTTTGCACATTTCTTTTGTCACATTTTCGGGTACAAAACTTTTCGCCACCGGCCCCTCTGCAGTCCGACATCACCGGTGACTGAAGGGCTGGGTCCCCGATAACTCCGGGAAGCTCCGACGCCGGTGTTGGAGCTTCCAGGAGTTAGGTCTCCGACTACGTCGTAGCTAAAGTCGCTGCTATATGAATATGTCTAAACCTAATTTGTTAGACGTAATTCTAGATCTAACAAGTTAGAGATCTATTACTTTAATGAATTACTTCCTTCTTTTTTGTCATACAGACAGATTTAACAGTATATCTGATATAACAGATCCCAAATGAAAACAATGAACTTTAACTTTAGTATGAGTACAAGAAGATAGACCAAGAAGATAGACCTGGAAGCTCGACTACCGGCGTGAAGTTAGAAAGATATTCGATATTCGATATTCGATATTCAAAGTGCGAATAGCAAGCCAGTTTGATATTCGGATTTTCGGATATTCAAAATATCACAATTCAATGCACATAAACATATCTGGTATAAGCCTGTTTTAGGTACCCAACCCCTATTGACCGGGACCATCATATATATAGGATTTTTATTGAAATCAAAACATCAAAAACCAAGAGCAAACAGTCCAAAGACTGACAACTGTCTTGGGTACAAAAATATAATTTAAATCAAATATACATAATAAAATAGTAGTAATGAATAAATACATAAGTTACATAAGTTAAAATATCAAATAACTAAACTATTATCAATAAATATTGCAAAAAGGACATATAAACAATAAGTATACATCATTACAATTACGTCAAAAGAGGGCTCTCGAGCTGTGCAAAATCTAAATCAGGTACAGACCGAGAGTCCAATAAAAGAAAATTAAAATGCATAAGACTGGGTTTAAAAAAGATCAATAGTGAAAAGAGGGGAATATGTCAGCTAAAGAATAATTTTTTAAATTTAAAGTATTGAGAAGGTACAAGTAACATACAATAAAGAAATTCCCAAGAGAGCATAGTAAGAGAATAGAGTAAGATAGAGGAAGAGAGAGGGAGAAAATAAGAAAGGAGAGGAGAGAGGGAGAGAGAGAGAGAAAGAGAGAAGGAAGAGGATAGAAAGAAAGTTAGGGAAATATCAATACCATCTGTAGAATTTGTAAAAACAGTCCAGGTATTCAACATTGTAGACATCATTGCAATTAACCCGAAATACATGAAACATACAATAAAGAAATTCCCAAGAGAGCATAGAGAGAGAAAAGAGTAAGATAGGGGAGAGAGGGAAGAAAAGAAAAGGAGAAAGAGAGAAAGAGAGAGAGAGAGAAAGAGAGAGAGAGAGAGAGAAGGAAGGGGATAGGAAGAGAGTTAGGGAAATATCAATACCAACTGTAGACTCTGTAAAAACAGCCCAACCCATAGGAAAGTGAAAAGTATGCCGCAGACCTGCCGCAGACCTGCCGCAGATCTGCCGCAGACCTGCCGCAGACTAAAAGTCTGCGGCAAAGAGTATGCCGAAGTATGCTGCAGAAAGAAATTTTGCTGCAGACTTGCCGCATACCAGTATGCCACAGGAACAGTCTGCGGCAGATCTGCGGCAGGATGAAATTTTGCTGCAGACTTGCCGCATACTAGTATGCCACAGGAACAGTCTGCGGCAGATCTGCGGCAGGATGAAACTTTGCTCCAGACTTGCCGCATACTAGTATGCCACAGGAACAGTCTGCGGCAGATCTGCGGCAGGATGAAATTTTGCTGCAGACTTGCCGCATACTAGTATGCCACAGGAACAGTCTGCGGCAGATCTGCGGCAGGATGAAACTTTGCTCCAGACTTGCCGCATACTAGTATGCCACAGGAACAGTCTGCGGCAGATCTGCGGCAGGATGAAATTTTGCTGCAGACTTGCCGCATACTAGTATGCCACAGGAACAGTCTGCGGCAGATCTGCGGCAGGATGAAACTTTGCTCCAGACTTGCCGCATACTAGTATGCCACAGGAACAGTCTGCGGCAGATCTGCGGCAGGATGAAATTTTGCTGCAGACTTGCCGCATACTAGTATGCCACAGGAACAGTCTGCGGCAGATCTGCGGCAGGATGAAACTTTGCTCCAGACTTGCCGCATACTAGTATGCCACAGGAACAGTCTGCGGCAGATCTGCGGCAGGGCGAAACTTTGCTCCAGACTTGCCGCATACCAGTACACCACAGGAACAGTCTGCGGCAGGTCTGCCACAGGAAATCCCATTAAAGTCTAATAGGGCCAATTGAAACCAATCATCTCATGCATATTCATTATTACTTTACACGTGTGACAGAAAAATACATTTATCATGATTTGTTAAGCAAATTAAGACAATGCACATCATTTTTGTGATTTCTATTTTCTTTTTGCCATTATTAACCAATAGATTATTTTGTCTGATCATGTTACAATTACATTCACGTTTAAGCAATAGATATATTGATTACTAACGAAGAAACTATGATTACTAACCAAGAAACAATATACATATTTAGTATATATATGTGTACGAGCCTGTGTCACTTTAAATGTTACTCTTGAATACACTTCAAATGATCAATGTGATGAAGTTAATACAATTGAGAATAGAATATACCTAATTGGTAATATCGATATCTATTGGTATTACCTAATTGGTAATATTGATATTGCCAATATCGATTATGAAGTATCAATCAGTTTATCACTGGTTCTTCTACATGCATACTTTATTGCCACGTACTGGATATGAAAGAGTATGCGGCAGGTCTGCAGCAGGTCTATATGAGATATGAATATTCATGACGAAGAGTCTGCGGCAGGTCTGCAGCAAGTCTGCGGCAGACCTGCCGCAGACTCTTCATCATACTGAAAGAGTATGCGGCAAGTCTGCAGCAAGTCTGGGGCAGTCTGCGGCAGACCTGCCGCAGACTCTTCATCATACTGAAAGAGTATGCGGCAGGTCTGCAGCAAGTCTGCGGCAGACCTGCCGCAGACAGTCATCTTTTTCACATGCAAATTAGTTTTGCCGCAGACTTGCCGCAGACCTGCCGCAGACTCTTCATCATACTGAAAGAGTATGCGGCAAGTCTGCAGCAAGTCTGCGGCAGACCTGCTGCATACTCTTCATCATACTGAATGAGTATGCGGCAAGTCTGCGGCAGACCTGCCGCAGACTCCTCATCATACTGAAAGAGTGTGCGGCAAGTCTGCAGCAAGTCTGCGGCAGACCTGCCGCAGACTCTTCATCATACTGAAAGAGTATGCGGCAAGTCTGCGGCAAGTCTGCGGCAAAACTAATTTGCATGTGAAAAAGATGACTGTCTGCGGCAGGTCTGCTGCAGATCTGCGGCAAGTCTGCCGCAGGAGTATGCGGCAGGCTCATTTCTTTCCTATGGGTTAAGTATCCAAGCATTATAGACATTGTAATTAATCTGAGATACATGTAACATACAATCTGTAGAATCTGTAAAAACAGTCCAGGTATTCAACATTGTAGACATCATTGCAATTAACCCGAAATACATGAAACATACAATAAAGAAATTCCCAAGAGAGCATAGAAAGAGAAGAGAGTAAAACAGATGGAGAGAAATAGGAAAAGAGAAAGGGGGAGAGAGAGAGAGAGAGGAGAGAGAGAGAGAGAGAAGGAGATAGGAAGAAAGTTAGGGAAATTTCAATAAAATCTGTAGACTCTGTAAAATGAGAAAGTATCTAAACATTGTAGACAATAGACATTATTGCAAGAATTATGAAATACATGTACATAAAGGAAAAAGAAACATGTGTAATCTACCAAAGAAGAATGGAAGAAGAAGGAGGAGGAAAAGAGAAGAATTTGAGAAAGAGAGGGGAAAACACCAGAAAGGAAATTAGAAATTGGTAGATTTACACAAGTTTCATCATGTTGATTACCTTCACTGCCTGTGGTATAAAAGAATTTTGGTATCTGGATGTACGGCATGTTGGTTGGCAAAGATGGTCACTGTTTCTTAACTGGCGAAAATTTGGTAAGGAATCCCTACGTGGAGGGAGCATGGAAGAATGTCTGGATTGCAAGAATGATTTAACAAAATTTATGAACAATTGTTGTCGTCTATCTGCAAGGGATGGAATCTGTAAAACTTGAAGGGCGTGAAGGTAATCAACATAATTATATCCCAAAATGATACGGCAAGATCTTTTTTGGACTCGTTCGATCTTGTTCGACTGATTGGCAGTAATAGATGATGACCACACTGGGGAGGCATATTCAACTAACGGTCTAATATACATAATATAAATAGCAACCAAATCCTCTAGTGGAGCTTTGTGTTTTCTAAGAACACAAAGGATGTAAAAACGTCGTGATGCTTGTTTGACAGCATTCTCGACTTGTCTATCCCATTTCATATCAGACTGTAAGTGCACTCCCAATAACTTAACAAACTCAGTAGGCTGAAGGACAGAGTCACTGATGCTAACTTCGGGCATAACAATCTGGTTCCGAAGGAAAGAGATATGCAATACCTTACACTTCTCAGGCTTAGGGGTCATCTGATTATCAACAGAACACTCGGTGATCAAAGATAAATGATCTTGCAATACGGAGGGTTGAGATTTGTGTCTGATTTCAGCGACACTCAAATCATCAACATATTTCCATCTCAGAGGAGTAGAGGTTGCAACATCATTTATCATGATTAGGAAAAGAATGGGACCGAGCCTCGTACCTTGCGGTACTCCACATGTAACAGGCAGGGGCCCACTAAAGGTAGATCCTAAACGTACACAGTGAGATCTGTTCTCCAAGTAGCTACACAAGAGAAGGATAGTATTTGGATCAGTACCTAAATCAAACAACTTCTCAATCAGCACATTGTGATTGATGTGATCAAATGCCTTAGCATAATCAATAGTACAGACTGAGGCAACATAACCAGGTTTGTCAAGACCTTTCAAGATCGAATCGATCATACTTATTAAATAGTGAGAGGTTGATGATCCTT